GCCCAACACGTCCAGCGCCCCGTTGACGACGGTGCCTCCCGAGCCGCCAGTGATAGTGAGCTGCGTGTCCTGGGCGCGTGTGGAGATGGCGTTGGTCACGAGCCCCGTGGCGGTGCCCGTCGCGTCGTCGATGTAGAGCTCCGTGTCCACGCGCAGCCTCGGGGCCACCGTGTGCACCTCCGACGTGGCGAAGGTGCAGAGGCTCTGGTCCGCTTGGTCCATGACACGCACGGAGACGGTGCCCGACTTCAGGTTGAGGAACTGATTGGTCGGGAGCAGGGGCTCCACCGTGTCCGCCTGGAGGCTGCCGGCCGTGGCGATGCCCAGGCTGCTGTCGGCGAAGATGCGGCCCATGGTCAGCATGTTGACACCCGTCTTGAGGCTGAAGAGCGTGGAGGACAGGTCAGCCACGGCGGCCCCGTTGCTGGCCTCGAACTCGATGCCCAGGCTGCCGCCCCGCAGCGTCAAATAATCGGCGGTGTTGGCGCGCACGTCGTTGACCAGCAGGGGGTCCGACGGGGGCGCCCCCGCCAGCGCGTAGCGTGAATCCGATTCGCTCTTACTGTAGCAGTCGCAGGTCAGCTGCACCGTCGCGGAGTTACCCAAGATCAGGTTCGCCCCCAGGGGTGCCTGCGGCAACAACGACCTTATGATTCTCGGCGTGAAGTTGTCTAGCACCAGGGGGATTATTTGTCCCCCGGACGTGTTCCCGTTGACGGGAAAATAGCGGGAGTCGAGAGGCGCGTAGTCGGTGTTTGAGAGGTATCGCCCATCCGACTCGCTCTTGGAGTTGGCGTCGCAGGTCAGCTGCACCGTGGCCTGGTTGCCGAGGATCAGGTTCGCTCCCAGGGGTGCCTGCGGCAACAACGACCTTATGATTCTCGGCGTGAAGTTGTCTAGCACCAGGGGGATGATTTGCCCCCCTGAAGTGTTCCCGTTCACTGGAAAATACCTGGTGTCCCCCTGGGCCTCGGTGAGGAGCCCCGAGGAGCTGATCTGGCTCGCGATCTCCGCCGAGGTCTGGCCTTGGTCCCAGTAGTTGGTCAGCTCCGAGGCGATGGAGCTGTCGATGTCGGCCTGCGTGGCGTACTGCGAGACGTTGAGCGCGTCCACGGCGCTCGAGATCTGCGCGTTCACCTCGGCCTGCGTGTACGTCTCGCTCTGGTCGTAGGCCTGGCAGTCGATCTGCAGGGTGTTCCCCGAGTTCTGGAGCGTTGCCACCAGTGGCCCGGCGAAGTGCAGGTTGCGCAGGGCCTGCCCCGTCAGCAGCTCCCAAACGGTGTTCCCGCCCCAGGCGGGGGCGTTGGTCACCTCGTAGTACGACGCGAGCGCGATGCTGATCTCGTTGAGGATCGGCGCCTGGAGCCCGGTCCACGGGACGTAGGCGCTGAGGTCGATGCCGCCCACGGCCGCGGCGATGGCGGCGTCCGTTTGTGCGCTGTCGTAGTAAGCCGCCAGGGCTGATGTGATGGCTCCGTTGGTTTCGCTGCTCGTGTAATAGCTTCCCAGGGTGGCCAACACCCAGGACTCGCTGGCCAAGGGAGCCAGGAGGGCATTGACCTCTCCCTGCGTGTAGGCGTCGCAGGCCAAGGACAGCGTGAAGTTGTCGTTCTCGAGGGTGACGCTCAGGGGCGCGTTGAAGTGAAAGTTGCGGATGGTATTGGTGCCCAACAGCAGGTCCCAGGTGATCTCCCCGGGCCAGGCCTGGGCGTTGGCGAGGTTCGTGCCCCCTCCCGTGGTCAGCGCAGCCAGCGCGGAGTTGAGCGCGTCGATGGCCGACTGCAGGCTCGTCTCGGAGGCCGACAGGTCCGCGGCCGTGGCGAAGGGCCCCGCGCCCTGGAGGGCCAGGATCTCCGCGTCGTGCCCGTCCAGGCGCGCGTCTCGCACTGCCAGGAAAGCGTTGAGCCCCGCGGTGTCGGTGTAAGCTGCGAGGGCCGTGGCGAGCGCCGCCGCAACGTCGGCAGCCGACTGGAAGCCCGCTGCCTGCAGCGTCGCCAGGGCCGCCTCGGCGGTGCCCAACCTCCCGTCTCGGATGGCCAACGCAGCACCTGCTGCACGTAAGGAAGAAGCGCCGTCGCGATGAGCTGCGAGACGTCCGCGGGCGTGGTGCGCAGGGCCACCAGGCTGTTCAGCCCGCTGGTGTCGGTGTAGGGGAGCAGGGCTGTGGCGATGGCCTGGGAGACGTCGGCGGCTGTTTGTCGAGCCGCCACGTCGAGGGCCAGCTGGTCCTGCGTGCTCTTGAGAGCATAGGTCGAAGCCTGGGCGAGCGTCGCGTTGTTGGCCGAGGCGATGGCCGAAGACATGCCCGCGTTGGTCGGATGATTCGCGAGCTTCAGGTCCACGGAGGCGGGCGTGCTCTTGGAGTTGACGTCCAGCTGCAGCGCGTCGAGGGCCGACTGGTTGGCCTTCCCCGCCAGCCCCGTCGTGAGGCTGGTGCTCAGGCTTGTGATGCTGGAAGCGTTGGCCGCTATGGATCCTTCTGCTGCTGCCAGGTCCGCTGCCAGAGCGTAGGGGGTCAGATCGGGGGGCGGGGGAATGGCCGCCACCTGGGTCTGCAGCGCGGCCACGGCGGCCGAGTTCGCTCCGATGGCCGCGGTGTTGCGGGTGGTCGTCTCCAGCGGCGTGTACTGAGACAAAATGGTCGCGACCTGGCCAGCCGTGACGCCGGTCACCTCTATCGTGGCCATGGGCGTTTGTCCATCGTCGAGCGCATTCCCCGTAATGGTGCTTGAGAAGAGTGACATTTATTGTACCGCCCGGGACACGGTCCGGGCCACCACGTCCCACTCCTCCGCCACGGCGGGCAGCTCGCTGTCCTCGGCCGCCCGGTCGTAGAAGAGGAAGAGCCGCTGGAACGGCCGCTCCGGGCTCCTCCTGCAGCAGCCTGTGCAGGAGCTCCAGGAGCTTCGAGTGCCGCGCGTTCTTGGCGGTGCGAACCGTCCGGCCCGCGACCTTAAAGGGGTCGGGGTTGTACCTCACCACCGCCAGCTTGTGCTGGCTGCCCAGCGCGACGCTCGCTGCCATGTCGAAGTCTCGGCGCACGTCGCAGCTGGGGTCCTGGTGGGAGTGCTGGTTCTCGTCCACCTCCAGGATGATGGCGCCCCAGGATGCGTAGAGCACGAAGTCTGCGAAGGCGCGGGCCGTTTCGACTCCAGCCCGCAGCCGCGGAAGGGCAGGTGGTGCTGGTACTCGAAGATGAGGCCCGCCTTGGACAGGAGCTGGTGCACCTCCAGCTCCTTGCCTTTGGTCAAGGCTTTGGGATTGTCGGTGTGAGCAGAGCACATGTGTATCCGAAGATTGGCCGCCGTGGAAAACTTTTGATTCGGCTGGCAAAGCTCGCAGGTCCAGTCGTTGCAGTCGCGGCACGAATGCTTGTGCCGCCCGTGCGGGCAGAAGCTACTGCCGCCGCACTCCCTGCAGCGTGCCTTTTGCCGCCCGTGCGGGCAGAAGCTACTGCCGCCGCAGTCGCGGCACTGTGCCTTTTGCCGCCCGTGCGGGCAGAGGTTGCTGCCGCCGCACTCCTTGCAGCGGCAGTGCTGCCGTCCATGTGGACAAAGGCCCTTGCCGCCACAGTCCCTGCAGTAGTACTGGTCGCGCCCGTGCGGGCACTTCTTGGCTGGCTTGCGCACCGCCATGGCTGATTGGTTTGACCTCTACAGGCGAAGCCCCGCCCGCTGCCGCAGAGCCAGATCCGAGCCGATGGGGGTTTGAACGAGCTCTTTCTACGGGCGCCCAGCGGAAAAGCGCCGGGGCGAACGCGCTAGTCGAGGCTCGACACGCCCGCCGAGCTCAAGGTGACCAACTGGTAGGAAACAAGGTGGAGGAAGCATTGGTCGACCCGGTCTGGCTCCATGCGGTCGAAGCTGAAGCGGCAGAGGTCGCCGGAGCGCGTCGAGATGCCGGACAGGGGGTGGCGGGGCACCCGCTCGACGGGATACGCAGCGACGAACTGGTCGTTTCCGTAGAGGTTGTCTCGGATCCGCATGTTTCTGACCTTGCTGTCGTAGGTGCCCGCCATGATCTCCAGGAAGTGGAAGTGGTCCGCGATGCTCTCGTTGGCCACCCTGGGAAATTGGAGCGCCCCGAGCTGCAGCTGGCTCTTCAAGTTGCGGTTGTCGTTGTTGCCCGCGTACTCGAAATTGTCCACGTGGTCCTCGGTCGTCTTGTTGAACGTAACGAAGGCGCCCAATAGCTTCGTGAAGGCGCGGGCGACAGTGACGTTGTAGCTGGTGGACCCGGCGGGGACGCTCGACAGTTGGCTGTGCATTGTAGGGAACGCGAAGATCAAACTGCGGCCGCTGGTCATGATGCGCTGGAAGCTCTCGCGGAGGGCCGAGTCGAGCGTGACTTGCGAGGCGTACAGAGACACGCTCTCCACTGTGTAGTCCTTGCTCGCGCTGATGCCGCGGGCCCCGTCGTTCGGGTCGGCGAAGGTGATCTGGAGAACGAGGTTTAACTCGGGCGGGAGGAGCTTCTGACAATTGAAGATCCCTATGAGGTGCGGGCTCATGAGCACGTGCCGGGAGCCCGACTGCGCGATCTCGAAGGCGTGGCCCCCGCCGTCCGCCAGGAAGCCCATGATGTGCTTGTTGAGCCACCACTCCTCGTTTTTCAGCAGGCTGTAGAGGTACGAGCAGCGCCCGTAGTAGGAGATGTCCTCGATGCGGGTGCCGTTGGCAAAGACCTCCACGCGGTTAATGAGGCAACTGGGATCCGGCGAGGACAGCTGCAGCGTGCCCGTGGTGCTGTTGTTGCGCACCGTGAAGGCGAGCTTCACCGACTCCGGGTCGATGAAGTCCATGCCGCTCGTGAGCGGGATGCGACAGACTCGGCTCGTGGTGGGCGTGAAGGTGCTCAGCGAGCTCGGATAGTAACGCACATCTTTTCGACTCTGAACGTAATTCACGTTCGACGTCGCCAGTTTGTAGTCCAGACTCTGGACGAGCTCGTCGTTCACGGCAGCAGTCACCTGCTCCATGGTTTACTTCTACCGAAAGATTTCACGCGGCCTCCGGCTCGCTCGCGCTGCGAAGCGCCTCGAAGGACGGGGGCGGCGCGGCGCGGGACCTCCCTGAGGCTTGACGCTGCATCCGAGGCCGGGAGGAGTCGCTGCCCGAGGACTGCGCCAGGGGAGCGGGAGCCCCGTCGGGAAGCGCGTGGGCCTCGCGGGACGTGCCTGTACCCGCGGCGGAGGCTGGGCTCGCCGTTGGAGGCCTTGTGGCGGCTCCGATTCGTCCTCGGTGTCCATGCGGAAGTACTGTGTCCTAGGGCGTTGCCGTGAGGCCTGCGGATCCCGGAGCCGGAAGTGTTGAGGGTTTGAATGTCGGGAGCGGAGCTGGGCCGGGAAGCGTCCGTGTCGGTTCCGCCTCGCCCGCCCCAGCCCATCAGGTGCTCGGCCGCCACCATGCCTCCGTGCAGCGCCCACGCGGTGCCCACCAGCGCTGCCCCCGCGCCCGCCACGGCCAGGCCTCCCGCAGCCGCTCCCACCGTGGCGGCCACGGGCAGCGCGGCCTCTCCGGCGGCGGCCAGCCCGGAGCCGATGGCCGCGAGCGCGCCTCCTCCCGCCTCCCCCGCCGCTGCAGCTTCCGCGGCCCCCGCCGCCGCCTCCGCCGCTGAAGCGAAGCCCTCGGTCGCCTCCGCCTCGGCCATCTGCTGGCTCATGAACTGCTCGATGTCGCGGGCCGCCGCCCGCTCCACCTCCTGCGCCCGCTGCCCCGCCCGCTCCAGGAGAGGCTCCACCTCCGAAGGCCTGCCTATCACTTGTGGTGGAGCGACCTCGTCGGGCGGGGGCGCCAGGCCCTCGGGCACGCGGGGGATGCGCAGGTTCCGGTCGATCCAGTTGCGCCCCCTCCGCGCTGCGTTGTGAGGTCTGCTCCGTGCCCCGCGATGGCGGAGGCGGAGCCCGCCAGCCCCGCCGCAGCTCCCGCCGCGGCTTCGGCCTGCTGCAGCCTGCTCAGGAAGCTCGGCGCCGGCGGCGGCTGAAACCCGTCGTTTCTCAGAGCCTGGCCTGGGTCCACGGCACCAAAGTCAGAATCGCTCCATGGTCGTGTGGGGCAACGGCGCATCGCTCACGGGCTCGCTGCTCTCGGGGTAGTCAGTCAACCAAAAATGTGAGGAGGTCAGGATGGATGCGTTGCGGTTGGGATAGGTGATGGGCAGCGGCTCTCCTTCGGCGATGTGGCCCAGGACCTGCGAGTAGGACGGCCGCACGCGGAAGCCGTGCGCGCGCCGCTCCTCCATTTACTTAAGCATGACCCGCAGGCCCCGCTTACCCAGGTAACTCAGCTCGCTGGCTCGCTGCACCGCCTCGCACAGGTAGCTCTGGACCTCCCGGGTCCGCGTGTCGTACCGCAGGGCCACGCGACGCGGCGTCGTCCAGCGGCGCTTCAGCAAGCCCAGGATCTCCTCGCCCTCCTCGTGCTCCTCCAGCTCATGCTCGAAGGCCAGGGGGATCTCCACGTCCTCGGACGCCAGCGTCCACACGCCGTCTCGAAGCACTAGCAACAACAGCGTTCGCAGCAACAGCTCCATTTTTTACATGAGCCCCCCATAGGCTCCTGACTCGGACGTGTTCCGCCCGCCCGCTACGTCCCCGGCCATCCTGCGCACGCCCGCCCGCTCGGCGGGGGCCCACCTCAGCTGGGGGACCCTGCGGTTTATGGCGTCCGTCATGCGCCCCAGCTCGTCGGCGTAGGACTCGCCCTCCTGGCGCTGCCGCCGCTCCGCCAGCCACTTGTTGAAGGCCTGGGCGTCGATGAGCTGCTGGTAGCGCTTGTGCAAGAACGGGGTCAGGTTGTAGCTCGGATAGTGTTTGTGAAAGGCCCGCAGCATCGCGGGCTCGTTGCGCCGCTCCGGATACGGCATCATCTTTTAGATTATCAGATATCCATGCTGTTTGCCATCAGGAGCTCGTGGAAGCGGTCGGCGCGGGAGAGCTGCCGGGCCCGGCGGGCCTCCGAGGGCGTCATTCTGACGGGCCGCTCAAGGGTGACGGGCTGCTCCAACGGCTGTGCCGAAGGCCGTGCGGCGCCGGTTTGGGTTCTTCCGAAGGCCGTGCCGCAGGCTCCTCCGAAGGCCGCTCCTCGGGCTCGTTCGCCGAAGGCCGTGCGGCGGGCTCCTCCGAAGGCTCCAAAGGCCGCTCGGGCTCATTCGCGGGCTCCTCCATTTACCTTTCCCAATCTAGAAAAATCGCGAAGCTCACCGAGGTCCCGCGAGTGTTGACCACCTCGCCGTCCAGGTCGGTGAGGCGGAAGCGCAGGTAGCGCAGCGTGATGGGGCCGTGGAGGTTGACGAAGTGGCCCTCGTCCGTCCTGCTGTGGAGGACGTGGCCCACGCCGCGATCCACGATTATCTTGGCAACGATGTCGGAACCCAGGGGGCCGAGGATGTGCTCGCGCGCGGCCAGGGCGGGGCATCTGAGGTACAGGGACTCAAAGGGAGCCATCTGCACAAAGGCGAAAATTTGTTGGGCACCCGAGATGAAGCTGGGACCCAGGAGGTGATTGATGCTCTCGGGCCTGGTGGACGACACGCCCAGCGGGTAGCCCGGGCCGTTGGGGAAGGTGACGCGCAGCTCCTGGTTGTTGAGGATCACTCGGTTCCCGTCGTAGGCGACCTGAATCTCGTTCGTCGAAGCGACGTACGTGGCCGCCGCGTAGTTGCTCGAGATCCACGCGGCTAACCGCTCGCCGGTGTAGGCGCCCGTCGGCAGCTGGGCGTAGTGCAGCGTGCCGCCCGACACGTCGTGCCAATAGAGGTAACTGCCACGGTCCGTGGAGAGGAAGGCGTCGGCCACGCGGATCTTGTGCACCGCCAGCTTCGCGCCCGAGTCGATGTGCAGCGTCTCGCCCAAGTCGATCTCGAAGTCACTGTCGGTGCCAGAAACGCGCTTCCGCGAGTCGATGTAGATCGTGCTCATGCCTCTTTTCTTTCTCCGGCGGAAAAGCCCGCGGCGCGCCGAGAACTCGCTGGCCGCCGACTCGTCCGAGACCTGCCGGGGCCTCTCTGGCGGTGGCCAATAGCGGCTCGGGTCGTAGACGTTGCTGGTCGTGCAGCAGCGCACGTTGGAACATTCACTTTCACAGATCGGCCCGCCCCCGAGAAGCTTGGCTGTGATCTGCGACAGGAGCTGGCCCATCGTCGATCACAAACCTTTGTTCGAACCGCACATGGAAGGCCTCGCTTTTGGGCTTCAGGAAGTATATGAAGAGGAAGCTGTAGGGCTCCCGGGTCGCCTCGTGGTAGAGGGCCAGCAGCTCGTCCTTGGAGAGGAGCGCGCTCAGCTCCTCTATGACCGCCTGGAGCTCGAGGGCGTTTCGGAGCCGCCACACGCACATAAACTGCAGGTTGACACGAATGCAGTTGGACACGACGCGGAGCTTCTGGCAACTGATGAACGTGCTGATCTGCAGGTGGCGGCCGAGGCAGAGGAGCGTGTCGAGTGCACCCTCTCCATTTCGCTTGTGGAGTTCGGGTTGGTCACTGAAATCATCGACTAAAATGCAGACGCCGTACAGCTTTTTGAGTCCAAGTTCCTTACTCTTCTTCGTGATCCGGCGCTGCTGCTCGATGATGTTCCTAATGGCCCCTTCGTCCCACGTGTCGAAGAGCACCTTCTCGCGCTCCATGTTCACGCCCATCTCCTCCTCGATGAACTTGATCACGGGCTTCCACGCGTCGTCGATGTGAATCGAAGGCGAGAAACAAAACAGTCTTTCCCACACGGACTCACCGCTGGCCGTGCGGTACTGCTCGAGCAGCATGCTTATGAGAGCCACCGTCTTGCCCGATTTCGAGGGGCCCAGCAGCATGCCTGTGCAAGGCACGCGGGGGACGATCGGGTCTCTGGGTTGCTTGACTTCGAAATGGGGAGTTGGAAAGACCTTGATCTTGCCCATTGCTTTTCCATAATGCCCGGTAACACTGGTACAGCCCTGGGCACATTCTTTTCTTACCAGGCAGCGCACCGCCTCCTTGAGCTGGGTAATCCGGCTCGCACACGAGCGGGCGCGCCGCGTCCAGTCGTTCTGCAGCAGTTCCCGGAAAGTATTCACAATGTGAATACTTATAAATTTCTGGGACCTGGGGGCCCGGTAGGCGTCTGCAGTCACTGCATGGCCGCCGTGGCCGCGGCCGCTATCTCGTTGCAGAGCGCCGGCGGGAGGCTGTAGAGCTGGTCTCGACTGTGGCTGACCTTGTGCGTGCTGTTGGGCCCGCGCTGGGCCGCCTCGGGATGCTTCCCGTCCTGGAGGTGCGGGCAGGGCGTCCGCTTGGTGCACATTGGCTTGCTCGGCTCCCAGGGCAAATTGCTCCAAATGCGCGTCGGCTTACGGTAGAGAAACCCCCACACACAGTAGGTCGTGTCTTGAGAAGCCCTGACTGCGGGTTCTCGAGGGCCCACCAGCGCGGGCGGAGGTAGGCGAGGATCTCTAGCGTCCGGAGCACCACCGCGTCGGCGGCCTCCAAGTTGCGCGGACGAGTGCGCAGCGCGACGCTGTATTCTACACACGGTGGTGAACACCAGATGAAATCGAAGTGGCCCGGTTCGAAGGCCTTGTAGTCCCAGGTCATGACGTCCGCCACGATGGTCGGGCGTGCCTTCGGATCCACGTCGAGGCTCGTCACCTCCCACTCGCGCGCCTCGAAAGCTCGACCCACGGATCCCGTGCCCGAGAAGAGCTCCAGCCCTTTTTAACATGGCGATGGGCAACGCCTGGGCAACGAGGTTGAGGTGCCCAACTCTTTAGGCGACCCACGCAGAGAAGAAATTGAAACAACTGTCCCCTGAGGGGACAGTTTTACCAAAATTTCTTCACGTTGCCAAGTCGGCCCACGCAGGCAGAACAATTTTCTGCAGTTGTCGTCTGAGGCGACAACTGCAGAAAATTTCTTCACGTCGCCAAGTCGGCCCAGGGCTCCTCCTCCCAGGGTCTCGCGAGGAGCCACAGCACGGCGACGCCGCCGGCCAGCGTCAGCGAGACGCACAGGAACTCCCCGAAGCTCACGGGGCTGGCGCGTTCGCCGAGCAAGCGCATTTATCTGTCTCGATACAAAAACCGGTGATGATCCAACTCGGCAACGTTCTCACCAACGCCAAAGGGGGGCGCTATACCCCACTGCGGAAAGAGGGTGGCAGCGACGCGCCAACATGGAAAAGCGGCTGGCTCCGGGTCTTGTGGAACCCCTCGAGCTACGGAGAACCTGAGGCGGTGCGCGTCTCCCTGTGCCTGGAGCCCGACGAGGCCGCCAAGGCCTTCTTCCAGAACACGGAGGAGCTGGTGACCAAGGCGCTCTCGGAGCACTCTCACCGCATCTTCGGCAAGCCCCTCAAACCAGAGGAGGTGAAGGAGCGGATGGCCAGCGCTGTCAAGACCAGCACACGCGGCACGGAGTTCCTCAAGTTGAAAATGAGCTGGGAGAGAGTACGACTCTGGGGACCCGAGGGAGAGGAGCTGCCGACGCAGCAGTGGGACCTGCAAGGCTGTTTCTGCAAAGTCCACGTGGAGCTGCGCCAGGTCTGGCTCATGAGTTCCCAGTGCGGCGTGCTGGCCGAGGTCACGGACGTGATGCTGCAGCAGGTTGACCCCCCGAAACCGCAATGCCCGTTCTAAACGCGTTCGCTCGACCGCCGCCGCCGAGGGGGCGGTAATAAACATCATGTCTTGGGCGCAGCAGCGCGAGAGCATCCGGCGGGCCGTGGAGGCGGGCGTCTCCGCGCACACCTCCCGGCAGGGCTCGGAGCTGCTGCGTCTCCCCAACGCCCAGCAGCTCCTGCTCGCCCGACCGGACGGACAGCCCACGCGCGCGGGCCAGTTCTTCTACCAGCTGGTCGGAAGGCGCCCGCCTTCCCGGCGCTTCAACGAGGGGCAGCCGCTCGTGCGCGACGGCCCCAACGACTACATTCTCCTTCGGGGGGGCGCCAAGAAACTGGTGCGGAGCCTGCAGCCCGACGGCAGCTACCGCGTCACCAAGCTGGGCAAGGCCTTCTTCAAAACCAAATGGACTGACTACATTGCGCTCCCGTGAGGATCCGCGGGAGACGACGACGCGGACAGCCCTACCAGAGAGACGACTTCCTGCCCGTGACTCTGGACGGCTTGGGGCGCCAGAACGACGCCCTGGGCGAGGTTCAACAGCACCGGAACGTCATCGCGGCCGCGCTCCGCAAACTGGGGAACCCCGAGGACGGCGACGTGATCATGGAGCTCTCGGACGAGACCTACCATCTGGACGCCTCGCGGGACTGGGGCGTCTCCAAGCAGACGATGCAGGTGGCGCAGAATCAGGTGAACACGGAGGTGACGCTCCGCCAACCCCTGGGCGCGCTGCGGGACGTTTCCTACCAGCTCTTCAGGGGCTCGGAGATCCTGGACAGCGCCTTCGAGGAGCGCGCCGACAGGCTCTGCGTGGTGCGCCAGGTCGCGGAGCTGCTGCAGCTGCCCTTCGAGGAGGCCTACTCGGATTTCGACGCGATCTGCCCCCGTGGCTGGGAGCGCAGGGGCGTCACCGGCAAGGAGATCCGGCAGTTCTGCGAGTGGCGCAAGGCGCCCCTGTTCATCGTGAACTGCCGAGGGCAAATGGTCGACTGCTACGAGCCGCCCGTCAAGGAGGAACGGGCACTGGCGCTGTGCGTGTATCGCGACCACGCCTACTTCTACAAGAGCGCGCGGGCCGTGGCCTGGTGCGACGGGGAGCCACGAGACACTCCGAGCTACCGAGGCGACCGGCGGGAGTCCACCGTGCCGCCCTTCGGCGAGTGGCAGGAATGGTTGGGCACCCTCGAGCCAGGGCACTACTGGGCCAAGGACCTGCGCGTCGCGCGCTCTCGCCTGCTCGCGGAGGGCCACCAGCCCAAGGTGGTCCTGCGGGGGCTCGTGGAGTGGCGCTACCTGCGGCTGCGCGTGCGGGGGCAGGGAGACTGTATCATTCACGAGCATCCCGAGGACGCGGAGGTGCTGGACGCGTGGATGGGCAAGCTGGGCTTCGTCTACCGCGGGCAGCGACTCGCGGGCGCGGCGAGCGAGGTCTTCGCAGCGCGCGCCGGGAGCGGGGCGACGTGCAGCGACTGCTGCAGGAGCAGCGGGGAGCCTGCGCGCTCTGCGCCGCGCCCATCGACGCGGGCACCTGCGAGGCGGACCACGTGGTGCCGGTGCACCAGTCCTTCTTCGGGCAGCGGCAGCCCCTGCAGGCCCTGTGCCTGGAGTGCCACCGCGCGAAGACGTTCCTGGAGTGTTCCCACGCCACGACCCTGGAGAGCCGCTTCTGCCGCCACGTCTTCGAGAGCTACGCCTGCTCCCCGCGCCTGCCCCCGCTCGTTTGCGGCCTGTCGAAATGCAACCCCGACAAATTGTGCCAGGGCGTGGACGTGGTGCGCTGCCGGAAGAACGCCCTGGCCAACGCCCCCTTCCCGCTGCCCGTCTTCTGCCCTTTGGACAGCATCCGCCCGGCGGAGGAGGGGCAGCTGGCAGACCTCACCTTCGTGCGGAAGCGGGAGGACAAGCGCGAGGGCTTCATGGCGCGGCTGCCCTACGTCGGCCCGGGCTGGTACGGGAAGCCGGCGGTGGCCTACATGCTCGACGCGGGCCTCGCGAGATGGGCGGATTTCGAGTGGTCGCTGGAGGCCACGGCCCACGTGGCGCCCGACTGCCTGGCGCGGGCGCTGGAGATCATGGAGACGGCCTGGCCCCAGGGCGAGGAACACTTCGCGAAGCTGAGCGTGAACGCGCTCATCGGGCTGTGGGCGCGCTCCAAGGACGTCTACTACTCCATGAGAACGAGCAGCCACGAGGCGGACGCCTGGGGCTCCCAGTTCCTGCAGGTCTTCTTCGACGCCGCGGGCGCCTGCCACTACGACCACGTCTAGTGGCGGTATGGGAAAGAGATCTCGCAAACGCTGCCCCGGCGCTTTGGTCACGGAGCTCTTCCAACCCCTGAAGTAACTCGCGAAACCCAGAGAAGACGAAGCCATGGAAAGGGTGCCGAGCCCTCCGCATATAGGCGTTTGGTTCACGAACCGGTCCACGCGCCCGGCGCACGACTTCGTGATGGCCTGGCGAGGATCAACCGCGCGCTGCGGGAGGTGCCGCCCCGCTATTTGGTGGCGCTGAAGACCGACTGCCTCGTGTACCAGAACCTGCCGAAAAAGTTCCTGCCCGCTGTGGAGGCGCTCACGCGGCAGCGGCATCGGGACGGCACGCCGAAGTACCGCTTCGAAGAGGTAAAGCGGTTGGAGGGAGACTACCGAGAGCCGCGGCTGGAGACGGAGCCGCCGCCGAGGCAGGGGCCCTGGAGGCACGTGGAGGACCCCGTGGCGCACTGCCTCGACGGGAAAAGCCTGCTGCTCTCCGGCATGCCGGGCACGGGGAAGACGCACTTGGCGAGGCAGATCGTGACGCAGCTCTCGGCGCAGGGCGAGGAGGTGACGCTCATCTCGAAGACGCACTGCAGTGTGCAGAACCTGGGCCTGGGGGCGCAGACGGCGGACCTCTGGGTGCGGCGCACCATCCGCGCTGGCCGCTGCGCGCTGGACTGGCTCGTCGTCGAGGAGGTCACGCAGCTCGACGTGGGGCTGTGGGCCGACATCGCTGAACTGTCGACGAACCGTCGGGTGCGCTTCCTGCTGCTGGGCGACTTCCGGCAGCTGCCCGCGGTGCAGGACGCCTTCGGGGGCTCGCAGGTGCTGCGCTCGCTGAAGGAGTCGCAGCTGCTGCACGACCTGGCGGGCGGCTGCGTGCACGAGCTCACGGAGAACCGGCGCAGCGACGAGACGATCTTCCGCTTCCTGCAGTGGCTGCGCGTGGACGAGCCCGAGCAGGCGCCGCTGCGGGAGGCCGTGCAGGCGGCCCGGGAGCGCTTCCCGCGGCGGGGCCACCCCGACACCTGCCTCGTCATCTCCCACGCCCACAGGATGGCCATCAACGAGCGAGAGAACAAGAGGCTGCTGGAGCACCGGGCGCAGGGGCAGGCGCAGAAGCCGCCCCAGCAAGCGGGCACCAATCAAGCGCAGACCATGAGAGTGTGGCCAGGGCTGAGGCTCGTGGGCGCGGGGGGCAGGGTGCCCAAGGGCTGCTTCGCGACGGTGCGGGAGGTGGCGGAGGAGCGGATCTCGCTGGACGACGGGCAGAGCTTCACGCCCGCGGAGCTGCTGCGACACACCCGCCTCTGCCACGCGATCACCTACGCCTCGTGACGCTGCGGGGGAGAGTGTGGCTCTGCGACGCCGACAACCCGCACTTCTCGGTCAGACACGTCTATGTCGGCGCGTCGCGGGCCACGAGCGCGGAGCTCCTCAGCGTGCTGTGATCATTGCACCCCGCTGCCCTTGAGGGTGGTGCGCGACACGCACCACCCCCAGGAGTCCCCGAAATGGTGCGAAATTGCGCCCCGCTGCCCTCGCTTGAGGGTGGTATGTGTCGCATACCACCCCCAGGAGTCCCCGAAATGGTGCTTAATTGCGCCCCGCTGCCCTCGCTTGAGGGTGGTGTGGTGTTACACCACCCCCTAGGAGCCCCGAACCGAGGCCTCGGTGACACCGCTCGAGGTGCCCAACCGGTTGTCGTCATACGACGACAACCATCGTGGCCGTAAATTTCGGTGATTTGTCCCGATATTTTCGGTGCTGGACCTGTCAGTCAACTTGACTGACAGGTCTGAAAATTTCTCAAGCTGCTTAATGGCACCCTGCTGCCCTCGCTGGAGGTTGGTGCGCGACACGCACCAACCCCAGGAGTCCCCGAACCGAGGCCTCGGTGGCGCCGCTCGGGGTGCCTCGCTGCCCCCTGTGCAATCCCGAGGATTCGGATGCACCATTCGGCAGCTTGACGGCCTTCAGAACATGTGCATCGCCGGTCGTCAGATCTGACGACGGTTGAAGCACATTCAGAGCGTCGCGAAGCCAAATTGACGAACAGTGGCACAGAGTCCCGCAGCGCGTTGCGCAGGACGAGGACCTGCCACCGGTGGGACGCCGAGACTGAGACAACACAACCGAGCTGAGACAACACTAGTGGAAACTCGGGGGTGCCCAACCGGGCGGGGGAGCTGCCGTGGGACGCCGAGACTGAGACAACCGAGCTGAGGCAACACTTCCTGAACCTGGGGGTGGTGGTGCTGCCGAGACAGCCGAGACACTGACACAGCGCAGCGCATGAAACTATTGATGCCACCAATAGTTTCGCGGCTTCCCAGGCCAGCGCCTGCCACAGAGGTGGTGGACCTCGGGCCAGTGCCTGTCCTGTTGCTCCTCTGCCGTGGTGGGACGCCAAGACTGAGACAACACAACCGAGCTGAGACAACGCTATCCTGAACCTCCCGGCCGTCAAATCTGACGAGTGAGTGCAAGGTCGGATTTCCGACCTTGGTATTCTGAGGCCCGGAAGGAGACAACGCAACCGAGCTGAGACAACGCTAAGGTGCTCCGCTGAACTCGGGGGTGGTGGTGCAGACAGCCCTCTGCAGTCCCGAGGATTCCCCGGGATGGACCGGGCTGCCTAAACAACGGCATTTTCGACACCGCTGATGAAACATAAGTGACACTTATGCTTTCTCGCTGCCCTGTTCTGCCCCTGCCGAGGATTCCCCGGAACTGCCCAACGCGTTTCAACATAGGTGTCACCTATCTTCAATCCTCGCTGTGCAATCCCGAGGAATCCCCGGGATGGACCGGGCTGCCCAAACGACGGCATCCAGGCTCTCAACCGGGTGCCCAATCGGATTATGCCAAACGGCAACATCCATCGTGGCCGCAATTTTCGGTGAACTGTCCCGAAACTTTCGGTGTGCTGCCCCCCATCCCGAGGAATCCCCGGGATGGACCGGGCTGCCTAAACAACGGCATTTTCGACACCGCTGATGAAACACAAGCGACACTTGTGTTTTTGGTGAGCGGTGGCAGTGGCAAAAAAACGAAGCATCCAGGCTGTCAATCGGGTGTGACCAAACGGACACACCCATCGTGGCCGCAAATTTCGGTGATTTGTCCCGAAACTTTCGGTGTGCTGCATCCCGAGGATTCCCCGGGATGGGCTCTCAACCGGGTGCTCCTCGCTGTTGGGTGGTGCTGGGGACGCCGAGACACCTGAGACAACACAACCGAGCTGAGACAGGTGAACCTCGGGGGTGCCCGGCGGGGGGTAGAGGTCGCTGTGCTCCTGCTGCTCCTCTGCCGTGGTGGGACGCCGAGACTAACACAACCGAGCTGAGGCAACACTAGTGTGCTGCTGAACCTCGGGGGTGCCCAACCGGCGGGGGGCGCCAGGCATTGGAGGCGTATCAGCCTTCCTTAGAATCAAGGAATGCTGATACGCCTGTGCCGTGGTGGGACGCCGAGACTAACCGAGCTGAGACACCCTCGGGAAGAAGTGCGGGGAGCCGCCGAGACAACACAGCTGAGGCAACACTAGTGTCTCAGTGCTGCTGCTGTACCTCGGGAGTGCCGGCGGGGAAGAGGGGAAACTGTCCTCCGGGGGGACAGTTTCGGTAGATGCTCCTCTGCCGTGGTGGGACGCCGCTCTTGCCCGGCAAGACGGCCGCCAGGGACAACCGAGCTGAGACACCCTCGGGAAGTGCGGGGAGCTGCCGTGGACACCGAGACTGAGACAACACAACCGAGCTGAGGCAACGCTGATGCAAAGGTCGCTGCTCCTGCTGAACCGCGGGGGTGCCCAACCGGCGGGGTGTAGACGCGGAACGTGGACGCGGAACGTGGACGCGGAACGTGGACGCGGAACGTGGACGCGGAACGTGGACGCGGAACGTGGACGCGGAACGCGCGGAACGTGGACGTACGTGGCGTGCGAAACCACCTCTCTCTTAGATGGGAGTGCCCCCGCACCCCTACATTGCAGCTGAGAGGATCGGAGTTTGAAGTTTCGAGTATACAGTCCCACTACGAAACTGGATTATATTCCAGTTTCGACCCTCTCAGTAGCTCATCTGTGCCCCGATTCCCCGCCCCGAAATTTGCGGAGTAGGAGGAATCGCATCACAGTGCAGTTCTGGGCTGCGGACCTGTGGAGTGCCACCCCTTCTTCTCCCCTTGGCTCCCCTTGGCTTGGGGCTGGGGGCTGGGGGCTGGGGTTGGCTTTCTTTTCTGCCCTGCTTCTCTTGGCTTGGGGGCTGGCTGGCTGGGGGCTGGGGGCTGGGGGGGGGGGAGATGGGGGGATTATAGGGGGGAGATAGGGGGGAGAATGGGGGGGGGATATAATGGGGAGAGGGGGGGAGATGGGGGGAAAGGATAGGGGGAGAATAGGGGTGGGGCTCGGGGCTGGGTTGGCTTGGGCTGGGGCTTTGGTGGGCTGGGGCTGGGTCTGGAGCTGGGTTTTTTTTTTTGGGGCTGGGGCTGAGCTGGTTTTTTTGGGGCTGGGCCTTGGGCGGGGCTTGGGTTTTTTTGGGGCGGGGCTGGGGCTGGGGCTGGGTTTTTTTGGGGCTGGGGCTGGGGCTGGGTTTTTTTGGGGCTGGGGCTGGGGCTGGGTTTTTTTGGGGCTGGGGCTGGGTGGGCTTGGGGCTGGGGCTGGGTGGGCTTGGGGCTGGGGCTGGGTTTTTTTGGGGCTGGGGCTGGGGCTGGGTTTTTTTGGGGCTGGGGCTGGGGCTGGGTTTTTTTTTCTCTTCCCTGTTCCCCTTTGTGGCACTCCACAGGTCCGCAGCCCAGAACTGCACTGTGATGCGATTCCGAATACGAGCAAATTTCGGGGCGGGGAATCGGGGCACAGACCTTTTCGAGGCCCTCTTCGGCCTCAGACAATTTCGGCGTGGAAGTCCTGGTGCCCAAGCCGCGGCCAAAGAAGCCGCGAAGGACAAGAAGAGCACGCTCGCTGGGGCCCCGCGACGTCGCCATGTTATCATGTTTGCAGTTAAAGGATGGGAGTCCGATGCCTTCCTGCCATCGGCAAGGTGCGCAAAAAGAACCCAATCAGAAAAGCTGAATGGGACTCCAGCATCTTCTCGGGTGCTGGTCTTACGGCAGAAGGGCAGGAGCATCACTGCAGGGGCTTCCGCACTGCTTCGCACTGCTTCGCGCGGCTTCGCACTGACAGGTTTCTGCACCAACATCTCAAGACGCATGGGAGCATGGGATGTGTCGCTGTGAGCCCCCCAACCCAACCAACCCAACGGTGGTCTCAACATTTTAAGTGTGGAAAGAGAGAAGAAGAGAAGAAGAAGAGAAGAAGGCCGGCCTCTTTGAGAGTCTACTTCAGCACGCCGCGGCCTCGACGCCCGACGCCCCTTCCACGCCCTCTCGAATCTCAATGTCACGGTGGGGTGCTGCTCTGGTGGCCTGCTTTCGTGGCCTGCTGGAGGCCGCCGAAGGACCCGCAGGCGAAGGATGAGCTACTGAGAGGGTCGAAACTGGAATATATTCCAGTTTCGTAGTGGGACTGTATACTCGAAACTTCAAACTCCGATCCTCTCAGCTGCAATGTAGGGGTGCGGGGGCACTCCCATCTATGAGAGAGCGCGCCCTGTGGATCACGCTGGACAGGATGGAGCAGTGCCTGCTCCGGCAGGCGTTCCGGGAGCCCGCGGGTTGTGCGACCACCACGTGGTGGGGTAGCGGTGCGGGATTTGCGCGACTGTGTTCAGAACCTGTTCAGCACCTGTTCAGCACCTTTTTCAACACCTTGCGGCGGTGCGGGATTTTTGCGCGGCATAGGGCAGGGTTTCTCTCTGTGAGGTTGTCCCAAGTGGCCATTGGGAGCAGTTTTCGAGGGTCAGTTTCACCTTTCCCAACCTGTCCTACCTTTCCCACCTGTCCCACCTTTCCTTGTCCCACCTTTCCCACCTGTCCCACCTTTCCCATTTGTCCCACTTGGCCCCCTTTCCCACTTGTCCCACCTTCCCACTTGTCCCACCTGTCCCACTTTTCCCACTTGTGTCCCACCTTGTCCCACCTTGTCCCATTTGTCCCACCTTGTCCCACTTGTCCCACCTTGTGTCCCACCTTGTCCAACCAACCCCCACCTTGGCCCACCCGTCCCACCTTGTGCCACTGTGTCCCACATTTCCCACTTGTCCCACCTGCCCCACCTTTCCTGCCTCTCTCCCGGGAGGTGTTCCAGCTCTCACTCTGTGATGGCTATGGGGCTGACTACGGAACGTTGATGAGAATCATGCATTTCCGGAGGCCGTCGATTCTGCAGGCTGGAGGCCGCAGAGCTTTAGAGCTTGCAAAACAGCCGCGCGGTGACTCGA